AGTTTTTGATTTATCTAATCCTGAGTTTCCCCGTATATAAATAGGAGATGATAAATTAATTTCATTTCAAAGAATTTTTGTGAGCTTTAAATAGAGTAATGATATGAAAGTGGCTTACAAATTGTAAGGAAAAATCAACCAATAGTAACGTTTATCACTATTTTTCCAATTCTACTGAAGTTTGGTTACACCTAAACAGTCTCCTTAAGTCATATCAATATTGAAAAAGAAAAAAGCTTTTAATTATGAATATTACACTAAAGGAAAATGCCTCTTATTTTTGAGAATAAAGAGTCCTGGCAATTTCAATCATCATTTCCTGTCTCCAAACTGATGAGCTCCAAATCATACGTGTTCTAAGGCTCCCAATAAAAGCAGAAGAAAAGAATTTTAAGATCCAAGACAGCAGATGAAGAAAAGATAAATTGCAATTTACTAACTACTGAAAAAACACCTATTGGACATTTAATAGGTAGCTACTATATATGACCACGTTAAGGTAATATATTTTTTCCTCTGCTTAAAATATTTTTTGCACGTAAAGTATGTCTATTTGTCATGTAGTCAAATATCATCTCCCACAGCATGAGACCATTCCCAACATATGCACATGAGAGTAATAATATAGTATACTGTTTGTTTGAAAGTAATAGGTACACTAGAATACTTTACCATACCGACTTACCTTTCATGTCCCAGTGATAAAAAGGCTCTTTAAGATCGTGAACTAGCAATAGAGTTCACGATCATTCATACAGAATGCTCCGGTACGCAGTACTGATTCAACGACTTAGGATGTTAAATGCATTGGGAAATCTTTCTTTTTATTTTATTTTCCTCACAAATGCAGAGGGGAAAAGCTATAGCGATCATTTCTTGTCTTAGTCTGAGCACCCCTCTGGAGAGGATCCAAGCGTGAAGTTTCCTTTGAAGTGAATGGAATCTCCACACTCAGATCAGCTCTGAGGATATATGGAGAACAAGAAACTGGCCGCATGAAAACAGACATTAGCATTTAAATGAGGCTAACCTTAAAAGAAAATTCATGCATCAAAAATACTAAGATTTGAAAACTGAGATACAATTTTTTAGTACTACATCAAACCACCTTGTATTAGAAGCAGGTCTTTCTTCGGCCTAACACAAAGAAAACAATAATATAAAATGTTCAAAAAGCTTAAAGATTAGGTGAGATATAGTGGACCTAGATCATATTGAAATATCACAGATGCCAAGTATTCCTCTTGTGGGTACACATAGACGTGTACACGGACAAAATCCGTGGATTGTATGTGTCCCAAAACCTGATTTTCATTCTGTATTTAATACTAGTGGACTGGCAAAGTAAAAAACATCACAAAACAATACTCCAGTTAAGAATTCAAGCATAAATCTTGCTGGTGTGTGTAAATCCAGCATAGGAAATATAATCTTCTTTGAATGCAAAATGTGTCTACCATCTGTAAAACCAAAATAGAAATCAGAATCAGAGTTATTTCAGAGTATCCATCCTCTGCCAATCAAGAGCTAGCTTTTGAATTACACCACTGTTCAAGACACTGTGCTCAGCTGAGTTTAAGTCATGGTTCTTTTTTTTTGTTTTTTAAAGATTTTATTTATTTTATTTTTTCCCCCCAAAGCCCCAGCAGATAGCTGCATGTCACAGCTGCACGCCTTCCAGTCACTGTATGTGGGACCCGGCCCCAGGATGGACGGAGAAGTGGTGCCTCAATGCGTACCCGGGATCCGAACCCGGGCCACCAGCATTGCAGCGCGCACACTTAACCACCAAGCCACAGGGCCGGCCCAAAGTCATGGTTCTTGATTTTGACGTTTATACATAAAAAGGTAGCTAACTATATAAGGCAATATATGTTGAGTATGAGAAATTCTTTGAGAGAAGACGATCATATAGTAAGATCAGATGGCCTGGAAAGGCTTCCTAGACAATTCTAGACGGATGGAGAGCACTTAGCTCAGCAGGTGGAATGTTGAGGTCCTCTACATAGAGGGAGGTGCCCAAGCAGAGACTTGGAAACAGGCAGGAAGAGTGAGTTTGGAAGATAGGAAGAAGACCAACTGGACCAGATAGGAAGAAGACCAACCGGTCCTGTTAGTGCCTGGTGAGAGATAAAGGAGGAAAAGAAAGTTGGAATCAGAATGGAAAGGTCTCCCCATGACAGATCTCTCATGGCAAGTCATAGACCTGTAAAATCACATCGAAGGGGGCAGTGCTGATGATCAGGTTCAACTTACCAGGTAACCCTTGATTCCCTCTTCAAGCACCCATGACAAATTGGCATCCAGTGTCTGCTTAAAGAATGATGCATAATTGATGGGCGTATTGTTCTGAAAGCGAGCTCCTTAACCTTCTTAGGGCCCTGGCCTGTTCTCCTTCCATACATCATGAACTCATATACAGTCATGCCCAGCATAATGATGTTTCGTCAAAGACGGATCACATATATGACGGTGGTCTCATAAGATTAGTACCATATAGCCTAGGTCTATAGTAGGCTATACCATGTAGTTTGTGTAAGTATATTCTACGATGTTCGCACAACACGAAATCGCCAAACAATGCATTTCTCAGAATGTCTCCCTGTTGTTAAGCAATGCATGATTGTAATACGAACCGCCAAATTATGTTTTAATGAATGACTGAATAACGTACTCTTAGTACTAGGAAACTTCAAGGAACACAGATGGAAATAGCCAGGGAAGGTATTACAGAAAGGGAAGACATCAACGGGCTTTGAAGAATGGGTAGTACTTAAGCAGAAAGGAAAGGGATAGATTCCGGGCAGGGAGATTTTAGAAGCAAAAGGCTCAAAGGCAAAAAAGAACATGCATCAAGGGGAAAAAAAACTACAAAGATCAGCCTATTTAGCACAAAGAGTTTTCACTGAGAAGTGGTGAAGACCCTTGAAAAGGTGTCAAAAGAGTTTGGATTTGTTGATGTAGACAATAAGCTGCTATAGTAAATTCTTGAGTAAAATTAACGTTTAGGATGTGAGGAAAACATATGCTGGAAGTAGCGTTTTAGGAAGACCAGACTGACGGTAGTGGACAAGATAGACTGATTTAGAGAAAAACTGGAGGCAGAAACACCAGTTAAGAGTCTTTTTAATTAGAAAGGTAATGAGGACGAAATTAGCACAACCACTTTGGAAAAGAATTTGGCATTACCTTCTAAAGCTGCACAGGCACACATTCCGTGGCCCAGCAATTCTGCTCCTTGATATAGTCCCTAAAGAAATGCTTCACATATGGACCAGCAGACATGTATATGAATGTTTGCTGCAGTATTATTTGTATTGGTAAAATCCTGGAAACCTCAAATATTCATTAACAGTAGAATAAATACATTGTAGCGTATTCAAACAGAGCAATGAAAATGAGTAAATTACAGCTCCATCAACATGTAAGAACCACCAAAACACAATGTTGACTGGAAATAAACAACTCACAAGAGAATTTTATATATTATCTTGTTAATTATATACATATGCATTTAAATATATATTTATATATTTATGTGTGTATACATATATAAATTCTATTGTGAGAATTTTATATACCTTGTTAATTATACATATATACACATTAAAATATATATTTATGTGTGTATACATATATAAATTCTCTGTGAATTGTTTTGATAGCATATTTCATTTTTATAAATTTCAAAAACATATAAAATAACTATATTTTTGTTTAGGAATACACACAAATGTGGAAAACCTATGAGGAATGGTAAGGAGATGATAAAGTTCAGAGTGTTATTTACTTCTGTGGAAGAGAGGAATGTATGACTAAGGAGGGATGCATAGGGCCTTTCTGAGGTTCTGGCAATATTCTATTTCTTAAACTGGGTGTGTATACTTGAGTTCATTTTGTGATTATTTAACTGTACAGGTACATTGTATAAACCCTTCAGTAGTTGTGATGTATTTCACAAGTTGAAAACAAATAATAAGGACTTGATCTAGGGTGATCAAAGTGGGCATAAAAGGAAATAGATATGTGGTGAGATCCATGATTCATTTGGATAAGATTACAAGAAGAGTTAATTCTGTACTAGCAATACTAGTGCAGAGGATAAACTATGCAAATCAACAATGCCCTAAAACACTTACTTGGATTTGGAATGAAAGAATAACAATTCTGAAAGTCTTTTGCCTAGGCTTTTTGACAAAGGGTAGGATAGGGATAGAAGGCGTGAACTACCGAGACATGCTCAGGCACACATTTTATCCACTCAGAAGCATAATGCTGAAGGGGTTCAGAACTAGCCTCCCCAAAATGTGCTGCTTTGGCATGTAGATTACTTTGAGCTGAAGCCAATCAAAGCCCAAAAGACTCAGGAAGAGTTCTTTTACCTCCCCCTAACCTGCCTAAAAGAATTTAGATAGAGGACCTGTTCCAGAAAGAGAGCTATCATATTCTTTGATAACTATAAAGAATACGAGCTAGTGTGGTAGACTGGAGGGGAACTTAGCAAGGCCTTCTTGTTCAAAGTCCTCTCTATGTCCTTCCTCAAACATCGAATACTTGCTCTTCCCTTCTTCCTGAGAATTGTCTTCCTCCCCTTTGAAGTCCCAGACTCCTACCTTCTTCATCTTAGCTCAGAATGCCATATAAGCCTCAGTTGCCTGACTGTCGGGGAGCCTCTCATTGTCTTCGTGGGGCTTCTGTACATATGTAATTAAATTTGTTTTTCTCCTGTTAATCTGTCTTATGTCAATTTAACTAATAGAACAGCCCAAAGAACATAGAAGGGTAGGAAAATTTTCCTCCCCTACAATGCAATAAGGCTCTCCAAACATGAGCTGCATAGTGTGTGTGTGGGTGTGTTTCCTCTTCTGTCTCACCAATTCCATACCTATTGTTGACTCCGAGTTATAGAATTTCTCTTTCACTTTCCCAAAAATATTTATGGAAAATGAAAACTCATGATATGTCTCCCTGTGATATTGTGATTTATAATAAGAAATATACGTATTTGGTCATTCAGATGACCAAAATATATTTCTCATATATATTTGGTCTTCATTCACAATTCCTGGATCACAGCTCCCAAAACGCTTGGAATTTCCTGAGCAATAAGAACAATGGGAGCATCTTTTGTTATAATATTTGATCTCTTGTCCTCAGTTCCTGAAAACACTTCGGAGCCATAAAAGTGAAACGGGTATCTTGCTAGTTATAACAAAGCCCTTTCCACCACGACTGGGTTTATGTTAATAAAGGTGACTTTTGGAAAGCACCTAAGGATGAAGGCTGGTTTCCAGGGGAATCAACCACGATTAGAGGGTTGGAACTTTGAGTCCTACCCTTGATTACTGGGGAAGGGAAATGGGCTGCTGGTTGAATCAATCACCAATAGCCAATGAGTTAATCAATCAGTCCTATGTAATGAAGCCTCCATAAAAACCCAAAAGGAGGGTATTCGAAGAGCTTCCAGATTGGGGAACCAGAACGCTTCCATGCACCACCGTGCCTGGTCCCAAGTTCTGCAAGGACAGAAGCTCCTGTTTTGGGGATCTTGCCCTATGTATCTCTTCATCTGGCTGTTGATTTTTATCCTTTAATATCCTTTGTAATATATCGGTTTCCTGAGTTCTGTGAGCCATTCTGGCAAATTAATCAAACCTAAGGAGGAGGTCGTTGGAACCTCTGATTTATAGCCAGTTGGTCAGAAGTATAGGTAACAACCTGGGCTTGTGTTTGGCATCTGAAGTGGAGGGCAGTCTGTGAGACTGAGCCCTTTACCTGTAGAATCTGATGCTGAGATGCTATCTCCAGGTAGATGGTGTCAGAATTGAGTTCAACTGAGTTCAATTCTCAGACACCTTGCTCTGTCCTAAAATTGCTTGTTGGTGTGGGGAGGACTCCACACATACACGTTGGAATTGGGGTCTAGGAACATAAAATACTCCCTCTCTCCCTCCCTTTCTATCTTTTCTTCTTCATCCAATATTCATTCAAGCTAAATGTCAATGTCGTATAAGATACTGATAGCCAAAGGTGACGAGGCATGGGTCTTAACTTTTATTCAAGGTTTAGTGGATGCATTACTTTTCTATTGCTATTGTAACAAGGTACCACAAACTTAGCATCTTAGAACACACAAATGTTTTATTTTACAGTTCTGTAGATCAGAAGTCCAAAGTGGGTCTCACCAAATCACTAGTGGGCCTGCCAAAAGCAAAGTGTTGGCTGCATTTTTTTCTGGAGGCCTAGGGGAACATCCATATCCTTGCTCATTTTGGCTCTTGGCAGACTTTGCTTTCTGGGGATTTTAGGACTAAGGACCCTGCTTTCCTGTTGGTTGTTGGCCACAGGTCATTCTCAGCTTCTAGACCCACCTGCATTCCTTGGCTTGTGGTCCCCTTTGTTTTCAAAGTCAGAAATAGCAACTCAGTCTTTCTTACGTCGCATCTCTCCTGCTGCTTCTTCCATCACTGAATCTTTCTGACCAACTTTCCTGCCTTCCTCATCCACTTTGAAGGACTCACGTGATTAAACTGGGCCACCCAGATAATGCAGGAAAATCTCCCCATCTCACAGTCCTTAACCTTAATCACATCTGCAAAGTCCCTTTTGCCAAGTAAGGTAACATGTTCACAGGCTCCAGGAATTAGCTTGTGGACATCTTTGGAAGCCATTATTCTGCCTACCACAATGGAGTTTTTAAAAATTGTAAAATGAATAACAAGAGCCACATACTTATTAATGTACAGCCATGAAGTGGTGATTAATGGAGCAGCCATGGTAAGAAAGGCGAGAACTATCATTTGATTCAGTATATTTCTCTAATTTTTTTTTCTGAGAATGCAGCAAGATGCAACAAATGAGGGACATGCATAGTGCCTGATGCATAGTAAGCATTCAACAAATAGGAGATCTCTTGTAACCCAAATACCCTCAATAATCTCATCCTCAGATGCCTTCTCTTTAATATTCAAACAGTACAGTCATGTGTTGCCTAACGATGAGGATATGTTCTGAGAAATGTGTCGTTAGGTGATTTCATCATTGTGTGAACATCACAGAGTAGACTAAAGAGGAAAAAAATTTGCCACTTCAAAATTTGCCACGTCTCTTAACGTGAGGATTATTTTAGGCTGATCATTTTGAAGAAATAAAACTCAGAAAGTTTTTCTTGTTACCTCCCCCTTAACTGCCTAAAAGAATTCAGATGAAAAAATCTGTCTCAGGAAGTGAACAATCACCTTAGCATAACACGAACTGTACGGGAGACAGGGAAGAACCTAGAAAAGCTTGTTCATTGGGCTTCCCTCTGTGTTCTTCTGTTTCTATGTAGCCGAACAAACAATTGTTTTCCAAACATTTGCTCCTTTACACCTACCTGTGAATTGCCTTCCTTCTTTGTGAAGTCCCCGACTTGCCCCATCCCCAACATCTTCTTTTGCCTTTAGCTGAGGATGGTATTTAAGGTGAGGGCTTTGGCCATTTTGGCAAGTTACTTGGTTTTCCTGGGTTTCTCTCATGTATACATGTTATTAAACTTTTGTTTGTTTTTCTCCTGTTAATCTGTCTTATATCAATTTAATTCTTAGACCAGCCAGAAGAACCCAGAAGGGTAGAGGAAAATTTCTTCCTCTCCTACAGTACTTACACAAACCTAGATGGTGTAGCCTACTACACACCTAGGCTGTATGGTACTAATCTTATGAGACCACTTGTCATATATATGGTTTGGTTGTGGATTGAAACGTCGTTACGCGGCACACGACTACAATACAATCCTCCATCCAGCTGGATTGATAGGAAGGGCTGCCTTTTACCACATTCCCCTTCCCAGACAATTCGAGGATCATTACACGTTCCACAAATCAGCCCTGGGATTCCTCTTTCCCTCTCTTTCTGCACTGCTACCCCGGGTTGCTCTGCAGATCACACCACCATCATTTCCCTGCAGCTGCAGCTGTTGCCCATGCCTCTCAAGCTCTTCCCTAAGCACTGACCCGCACCTTTCCCTTCATTCTCCAAAACTCAGCAAAGACAGGATATAGGGATGAGAAAATGGATACAATGCAGACAGGAAAACTTAAACTTGGATATTCATTATTGCTGTTCACAGAGTCCATTACCTGTACCCACAACACAACAACCCTCCTACCAACCATCTCTCTCTGACTGCTCTGCTGCTGGGACCAACGTGGCTGCCACTGACCAGAGAACACTTTGACCAATCCACCCATACCTGCTTCAGGTATTCAGGCATTCAGTGTCTCAGGTGTCGTTTCCTGAGGAGACGCAGGCCTTCATCTCAGGAGAGTAAAAATGCCCACTGGTGCATCCTCCCAGCACAAGACCCTCCACCAAGGGCAACAGCATAGTGCCTCGCTGCTCAAGCACCAAGAAAATGCTGGCATTTTAAAATAGTCGCTTCTTGTAGCCATCAATATTTCAGAAACATGAGGGTCTAATCTCAAAGCAATTCCTTGCATTAATTTTTGCATTATATTTTATAGAATAATCTCATGTTATTTTTGAAGGAAACTTGTAGCACTCTAGGCCAACTCCTCACTGTGTATTGGGAAAACTCAGACCCAAAGAGGAGAAGTGATGTGCATGTCACACAGCTCATTAACAATAAGTGTACAATAATGAGAATCAGGTATTCTGACTTCCCATATGCTACTTTGAAAAGCTTTTTTTCTATTCATGATAAAAACAAAAATTTTCAACACCTTTATTGTGGTTTTCTTTTGCTGCTAAATATGACCGGAAAATCTATGTCATTCTTTATACAACTGGAGATTTTTCTTGTTGAAACCAAATCTCTAATGCCATCCCACTAACAACCTAAAATAGAGATGCAAATCTACAGCTGCAAAATAAGAAAGGAAATACAAATATGATGAGAAAGAACACTATTTGTGTAGCAATATACTTCATTTTCAGTTTTCAATTACTGAAAAGAAACAGAATGCTGTGAGAAAGGATGCAGATTACGCCTTTTGAAAGTAACATTAATCATTTTTCCAACAATAAATGTATTACATGCTTATTTTGGAAAATCCAGGAAAGTATAATGCATCTTTTTTTTTTAATTCAGCAAAGTTGAGATCATGCACTCAAATATTTTCAAAGAATCTATCAGTCCTTCTAATTTCATTTACATGTACTAATAACTCTTTGTATATCTGTCACTTGAAAAATATATGAGATTCCCACTTTTTATTAGGAAATTAAATTAGTCCATCTGGCAAGAAATTAATCAGATTTCTCATTTATTTATTTATTTTTCCCCCAAAGCCCCAGTAGATAGTTGTATGTCATAGATGCACATCCTTCTAGTTGCTGTATGTGGGACGCGGCCTCAGCATGGCCGGAGGAGCAGTGCGTTGGTGCGTGCCCGGGATCCGAACCCAGGCCACCAGCAGCGGAGCGCACGCACTTAACTGCTAAGCCACAGGGCTGGCCCAGATTTCTTGTTTAAAAAAGAATCAAAGCTCATGGAGCAGTGCTGGAGATATTGATGTCCAGAAGTTTCCAGTAGTATTCTAGCCTTCATCTCTGCTATACCAACTTTTTACGCTGCTAGTAACCTCTCCAGATAAGGAAGTGAAGAAAAACAGTATTTACTTTACTTGACCTTGTAATCTCTACTGTCCACTCAAATACTATTAGCTTATGGAACTTCTCCAATATAGTCATGTCACATAACGACATCTCAGTCAACAATGGACTGCAAATATGACAGTGGTCCCATAAGATTAGTACCATATAGCCTAGGTGTGTAGTGGGCTACACCATCTAGGTTTGTGTAAGTACACTCTATGATGATTGCACAACAACGAAATCGCCTAACTACGCATTTCTTAGAACATATTCCTGTCATTAAGTGATGCATATAAAACCTATCAGAGGGGTCGGCCCTGTGGCTTAGCGGTTAAGTGCGTACGCTCCACTACTGGCGGCCTGGGTTTGCATCCCCAGCGAACACCTACGCACCGCTTCTCTGGCCATGCTGAGGCTGCGTCCCACATACAGCAACTAGAAGGATGTGCAACTATGACATACAGCTATCTACTGGGGCTTTGGGGAAAAAAAAGGAGAAGG